TGACTTACAATCAGTTTCATTAATATAGAGGTCAGGCCGTAGAATAAAGCCAATTGATTTGTGGACAAAAATACTTATACCATCACCAGCATAGTTAAAACGTGGTTGTGGCCTCTATATGGCAATTAGCCGGAGAAGGATAAACCACAATACCAAACGTGGTTTTTGAACTGAGACATAATTACATAACTTAAAGTTTAAATTTTTTTTGTTAGTGTTAAGCCAAGTTTCTATGATACAAATTATTTTAAATTCGTGGTTTAGTTGATGCAGTAAAAGTTTGAGATTTTCAAAATTTTTGTTAATACTTCGAATGACTACATTTAAAATAGAAAATGTATTTTTAATCTGACAGAGATAGTGAGTAGACTCAGAAATTTAATAATACTCGCTTTCTAAATTTTTTCCATTAAAATAGTTATCATCACTAGCATTCTCATCATTTAAATTAAGTGAAAAATTGGCCTCCATTTTTAAGAAAAAAAATTAATACAATTAAACAAAGTAGTATATAAAAAGAGTATAATAAAATTGTAGAATATATAAATATGTTACAAAGAAAAATTTTTACTTTTGTTTGCAGCCCATTCCCGAATAACCAACTTATCGTAATAGATAAATGAATATTTCCCAGCCGCTCATTCAACCTTCATCTGTTCCCGTAGAGCTTTCCTAATTGTGACAGTTTCAGGGCAAAAGTCTTCGTTAATATAAACTTTTTTTTTTTAAAATTTCAACTTTATCTTTATAATCTAACAGTTTTACTACAATTGTTCTTGGTTTGCTTTTATCTCTCTGGCAAGTTCTACGAGCTCTTTCAATCCGAATATTTGTTAATCCCAAATGCTCTTTAAAAACTTTACTGACTTTTAATTCACTGTCAATCCACGTTTCACCTTCGCTTTCTTTTAATCATTCCTTTCTTTTAATCATTCGCTTTCTTTTAATCATTCTGTCAACTTTTAAATTGTTTCTTCGAGATCTATCCTCCATCTCTTAGTTTACTTTTTATTTTAACATAGTCGGAACTATAATTTTGCTTATCGATGTCAGATGTATGTTTATTTTCCTGAGAAGCAATTGCGGTCTCAATTTTTTCTTTAAAAAGATGTTCGTGAAAGTTAAAGCTTTGTTTGATTTCTTTTACGTCTTTTTCTAATGTCTTTATATTTTTTGCATAATCATTAACCTTTAGATCTACTTTATCTAATATATCATATATAATTTTTGTGTTAGCGCTTAAAATATTCAACACGTTTTTTTCCTGCTGCTTCATAGTTTCGTCTATTTCGTTCTTAAATTCTTTAAACATTTTTTGTATCGTTTTTTTTACTTGATCCATTGTAATAGCCATAAATAACCAATATGTTAATCTATAAAAATATATGTTTATTTATATTTGTTTACTTAATTTATTCCAAACAATCTAAAACTTTTTTTTTTTTTTCAAATTTCAAATTTCAAAATAACCACGCTGCAGAAACACGTTCGCTCACCAAAAAAAAAAAGATGCCTTATTTAATGCAACTTTATTCGGGAAAGAAGGGGTGGAACAACCTTTCCCATCCCCTCCCTCCTTAAAATCGACTCTGAGTGAAAAAAATATATTTTTTTTTCTCGAAAATTTATATACCATTAGAGCAAGATACGTAAAACTATTTATAATTAACTATAAAAGAATACTACATTTGTCCAGCGACGTTTGCGGAGTTGTCCAAGATCATATGTAGACTTTTGTCCAAGATCGTCTGTATCTTTCTATTACTCTAATAACATCTGTCCAATATCATCTGAAATTTCAACGACCTCTAACAACATCTCTAGGAAGATGCCCAGTAAGCACATGAACGTTTTTAAAACGTTTTTTAACAATTAATTAAAACGTTTTTTAAACGTTCGAAATGGCAATACCTAAAAAACGTTTTAAAAAAAGCGTTGAAAAAACGTTCTAAAAAAGTTGTTTAAAAAACGTTCTAAAAAACACGTTTAAAAATCGTTCTTAAAAAAACCAAATTAAACAAAAAAAACACGTCTTTGTACGTTTAAAACACGTTTTTTTTAAGAAAATATTCCTAAGTCCATAGGGACTATTATTAAATTGTTTAAAAGAACCTGTTGGTTAAAAAAATAAGAAAAATAAAAAATTTATTTAAAAGTTATTTTTAAATTTATTTTCTAAAACAATTTACAAACAAATTAATATTGTAACGACGATATCTGTTGGATTTAAGGTACTTTAACACAAGTAAAAGTTGCCTGCTTTAACGAATCAGTAATTATTGCACGACAATCGACTCTGTTTATGATTAGTGAGCAGTCGATGCACTAACTAAAAGAATAAACTATATATTTACAACAGACAATCTAAACAGCAATAATAGTATTATAGTATAATAATAATATAATAGTTTAATAATAATAATAATAGTAATAAGTTTTTAAATTACAAATATATGTTTTAAAAATATATATATATATATATATATATATATTCATATTA